ATGCTGATTTATGGGCCAATCTAACCTACTAAATCAAAATGTCTATAGTATCTGGTAATTTGTAGTTGACAACCAAAACAAACACAAAAAAAATCTTGGCCATGGAGATACTATTAAAAAGGAGAATCAGACCCCTGGAAGATGCCTGCTGTGTATTGAATGTGAAAAACAAAAAATACTACAGAATAATGGGTATAACAATATCTCTAAAACATAATGGGAATGATATCTGTAAAATATAAGGAGAACTTACATATATGTATGTGTGTATACATATACATATGTGGTATATACGCATATACCCCCACACATGCATATTTACATATAAGTAAATATTTGTTTGATATTTGTGCGAGCACAAAGATAAATGTGAAAGAATACACATAAAAATTTAATACCAAATACTTTGGAGGCACCACATGAAAGATTGTTAACTTTTGCTTTATAGACTATTGTCAATTGTTAAATAAATATGCAGCATTACCTTTGCAAATAAAAAAAAAAACGTATTAAATCCTGTTGTTTTATTTCTTACAAATGCACCTTTTTTCCCCTTATTTTTTGGGATATGCCTAAAGTAGGGTTGTCACATAAAATAAAATGTCATATATGAGACATACTAAAATTTGTTCATTGTTTATTTGAAAATGAAATTTAACTGGGTGTGTTGTATTTGGATTTGCTAAATTTGGTAACCCTATCCTAATGGCTAATTTTATAATGCAAAATGTATCTAATTAATGCTTCTTCCACACACCTCTATTTTAAGAAAGGTAGTCCCAGCTGGCAAATTCTCTTCAACAACAACTGTGTATGTTGAGTTGGTGAACACAGGACTATTATCATCAATATCCAAAACCTTGATGGCCAGTGTTAGAGTTGAATGACGAGGGTGTATTGCTCCATCGGTTGCCACAACCACAAGTTCATAGTAGTCTCTGACTTCTCTGTTAAGCTTCACTGCTGTGTAAATGCTCCCATTGGATGTGATGCGAAAAAGATTATTGAAGTTACCCAGACTGTAGTGCACTTGGCCATTTATTCCAGCATCAGGGTCTGTTGCCTAAATAAAATGAAAAGAATTCACATAGTAAGTTTTGTTATACTGCTGATAAATGTAGCCTTACCAGTAAGGGATAATTCATGAATTCTGACATTTTTTAAACATTCATTTTTTCTCTAAGGAGAAAATTTAAAAGATCATGACAATGCAATGCAAAGTTTAAAACATGAAAAGAAATATACTGCATATAAATTAATATTCTTCATTCCAAATGAGCATAACATAAATTGCTAATTTCTTTAGCAATAACAGTATTATGATAGAAAATTCATATTATGAAAATTTTCAGGTATTATTAATTTTTAATATATTTTGAATTCTAATGAAAAAACATTTAGGCTTTGATTAATTTAACATAATTTATTGAGTGGCATTTTAACATTCTGTAGTTGTTTTATGTTTAAGTGCCTTATATATTTTCATCTTTATATAGCTCAATAATAATATTTGTTATATTATTTTTATAACAAATAATATTTGCTATATAAACAATACTTATAAATATTATCTTATTTAATTTTCAGGATGTTCTTATGAGTAAATATCATTGGTCCCATTTTACAAAAGAGAAAACTGTGGCTTATGGAATTTAATTATATTGCTTAGGGTTACACAAGAAATAAATATGTCATAAATGCCACGTGTTCTCACTCATATATGGAAGTTAAAAAAATTGACCTCATAAAAGTAGAGAGTATAATAGTTGTTATAGATGTTTGAAAGCATGGGAGGAGGGATAAGGAGAGGTTGGCCAACACATACAAAGCCCCCTCTTTCTTCCACCTCCAACTGCTCTGCAACATGTTAGAATGTAAAAATAATAATAATATTAATAAATAAATAAATTTAAAAATGAAACATGAGTAATAGTAAAAAAAAAAAAAAAGAATTACAGCTAGATTGGAAGTTCTAATGTTCTAAGGCACTATAGGGTCACTATCGTTAACAATAATTTATTGTATAATTTCACATAGCGAGAAGAGAAGATTCTGATTGTTCCCATACAAAGAAATGCCAAAGTTTGAAGTGATAAATATGTTATTTACTCTGATTTGATAATTACACATTGTATACATAGATCCAAATTATCACATTGTATCCCATACATATATACAATTATGTGTCAATTAAAAAATAATAATTAAAAAATAAATAAAAGATAATACAAAAAAGACAGGAATATCTCAGTGCCCCAGTTCTTAGTGAAATACCTCACATATAAAACTATTTAATAAATATTTATGGAATTAATGAATGTTATAGTAAATAAATGTATGGAACTGACATTTGAAACTATATCTCTTCCAAAAGCCAAATGGAAATAAAAGCACAGTAACTATAAAGTATCTGCAAATGGCACTTCTTTAATATTAGCACACAGATCTCCAAATCGTAACTCAGAATTGTTGAGAATATAATATATGTATATTCAGTGAAAAATTTGTCACATAAAATCACTTTGAATCAAATAAAACAAGTGAATTTTGAGTAAATATTTGTCCAGTGGAATATTACAATAATTAATCTTATCTAAAACTCAATTGCGATACAAATTATAATTCTCACTATCAAATACTGTACATTTTGTGTTAAATAGTTCTGTTATTTTTCTTCAAAGAAACTTGAATAAATCTTAGAAGCTGTAAAATATTATATTATTATGCCCCAAACTATCATTTAAAAAAGGAAGGAAAACAAGCCAAGTGTCTAGGGACACAATAATCACTGGATATCCACAATTCTGGAATGCAACATGATGTATTTTAACAGCACCTATGCCTCCATATATCCAACTTTACAAACACTGATGAGGCATGTAGTGTAGGGTTGTTGAATGCTTATG